TTTTGCTGTATTTTGGATCAAATAAATGCAGGCTTGGTGAGAAGCAGTGACTTAAAAAAAAAACTATTACTGTTCAAAAACGGGAGTGGTAGTGAGTGTATGCATCACACTCATATCACATCTAGTTGTTTTGGATAAGATTAAAATGTCAGATCCAACAATATAGTGACTTTTTTTTTTTTTTTTTTTTTTTTTTTTTTTTTTTTTAATTTTTATTTTTTTCATTTTGCCCCCGGGACACATTGGCCCATGGAAGCCTCTATGAACACTTGACTTGGCCAAAGAAGAGTGGGGCGGGGGGGTGAATTTGCTTTTTAAAGTTTGTATTCTACACATGGCGCGCGCACACATTAGGATAGGTTAGATGCCTGCCTCCGTTGTGAGTCCCTATCAAGCACTTTACCGATTCAACTACTCTGTACTCCTCCTCCTGCCTGGCTCTTTGCTCTTACTCACCGCAGAGAAAGCCTGTTCTTGATAAATCTGCTGTGAAAACATGGGAGAAGCCGACGAGGAACCAGTTGGAGTGCAGCAATATTTATATTGGCGGAGCGAAGTACTTTATCGCTCTGTCTATAGTGCATTGTGATTGGATTGTTTACGCTGCCAATACAGGAGACAATTCAATGGGCTGCTCGCTGTCCCTGTGCGATAGTCCTTGGCAAAAAAATAACCTTGTTGGCCCACTGGGAAAATGCCCGATTACCAATCCAGCTCTGGTCAGCTTGCTTTCCGTGTATGGGAATTTGATTTTTTTTTTTTGTCCGCAGAACCAGAAAAGCCAGGAGTGTGTCCAAAAAATCCTGAAGTAGCACTTTTAGGGGGGTGTGTTGAGCGGTGTTCTCATGACCGTGACTGTCCAAAAGATGAGAAATGCTGCAGCAAAGGATGTGGACAACAGTGTATGCCTCCATATAGAGGTATTTGTAATAGTGTGGGTCAGTTTAAGGGCTGGACTGGGATTAAAGTCGGCCAAGGCTTTTTTTTTTTTTTTTTTTTTTTTATATAAATTTACATGCGGAATTTCAGGTTTCTTTGATGAATAGAAAGTTCAGAAGAAAATCATTTCTGAAATGGAAGTCTTTTTGTAACATTATGAAGGTCTTTATCATCACTTTCAATCAATTTAAAGCCTCCTTGCTAAATTGAATTAAATAATTCTGTAATTTCTGGTTTAAATTGGTGGTAGTTTCTTGAACGGCAAATCTGCATATCAGAATGATTTCTGAAGGATCCTGTGACACTGGGGTAATGATGCTGAAATTTAGCTTTGATCACAGAAATAAATTACGTATTTTTTTTAAAAAAATATTTAAATCGAAAGTGATTTTTTTTTTTTAGTAAACATTTTTAAAATTACTGCTTTTGCTGCATTTTGGATCCAATAAATGCAGGTTTGGTGAGAAACGACTTTAAAAAAAAAAAAAAAATTTCAGAAGCTTTTGACTGGTAGTGTATGCATGCATCGCACTCATATCACATCTAGTTGTTTTGGATAAGAAGAAAATGTCAGGTCCGACAATGTAGTCGATATAGACCCGATTACCAATCCAGCCCTCCCATTTTCCACAAGTTGGAATGATTCTTTAGGGTCTTAATGAAGTCTAACTAACATTGGTGAATTTCTCAATGGTAGTGTGTAATACGCCCTTTTTATTTAGTCAAAACCAGCTCAGCAAAAAATGTTTTTGCATGTTGCTTTAAATGCTAATGAGCTCTGGTGACCCTGCCCCTCTCTTCCGTGCGGTGAGGAACAGTGCTCTGAGAGACTGTTTACTTTAGCCTCATTTAGCCATGAAATGCTCCGGTTACTAACATAACCTTGGTTCCCTGAGATAAGGGAAAGAGTGTTGTGTATGGGGGAAAACTCCTGTGAGCTACTTCCTCCTCCTGCTTGTTGATAGTCAGTGACAAGATGATCCTCGTTGCGGAAGGAGCATAATCTGAAGAAATGGCACTGCGAGCCGAGTTATATACACGTTTCCGTCCTTTCTGGTGGGCTGAAGCGCCATTGGTTTGTGCAGCTACACAAACGTGAACAAATCAGGCTTCAGTATGGAGTAAAACAGGAGTTTTACCCGTACACAACGTGAAGTGAGCGTTCGAAAGGGAACTTGCTGACTAGCACGCTATTAGGAACCACGATTGCAAAGACTCATTTAAAAAAAAAAAAACCTTATACTCCCTTCTGCTGTAAGTGAAGCTGGATAATGAATGATTTGCGCGAACATAGATGCATTTATTCCCTTCACAAACAACAGTAATCTATGCCATGGTGACTCAATTGGCCTTGGAATGCAGTCTTCGGAGGGTGCATCCTGAATTGGGACAGTTTACGGTCGTGACACTGTGATGAAACATTTGTGCCCGTGAGATCCACATAAATAGGCCGGCGTGTGACTCTGTGGCATTGTGTCCCTGACGAATTAGTAATTGAAAGTAAGGGTTGCCCAGAAAGATCAAATATCCAAATTGTTAATGCACAACTAATCTTATGATCCACTATAAATGTAAATGTATTTTATTCTAAAATATGGATTTAGAATAAATTACCAATGGAGTCAGATTTTAAATTTGAAGACTAAATAAATTAAGTGATTTTACAGACGCAGCAGACAAGACACTTGCAGAATCTTTTACCCCACGCCATTGGATTCTGTCGTTGGACCAGTGGGTGGTCCTTACAGTGGTCTGGCTGGCTAATATAAAGACATGTTCTCATTGTATGTATATTGAAAGGGACCGTTCCCCCCCAAAAAATAATGTCATTCCAAACATGTATGACTTTCTTCTGTGGAAACACGAGAAGATATTGAGAAATGTCTCAGTGACTCTGATTGGTTTCCAACATTCTTCAAAATATGTTTTATGTTCCACAGACAAAAGAAAATACAGGTTTGAAACGATATGAGGGTAAATAAATGAAGATTTTTTATTTTTGGTGAACTTTCCTGTTAAGGCATTTAGCCCTTTTATCTCAGCAACTTCAAAAAGTTTTGAAAGCAAAATTAAAGTATACCATGTTTATGACATCAATCTATAAGCAGCAGAGATTGCCTCATAAAATCTCTTTAAAATATCTCTATCAAAGTAAGAGATTTGGAAAGCACTTCATTATTTTTGTTTAGTACAGGACACCCAGAAAAAGTAAAGCATTCTGAAATGTATTGCATATGAAAGAGGAAAAATTCAGCTCTCAACAATTTGGTCTGAGAATTATATCATTCTAAGGTTTAGCAAAACGGATAAAGGCAATCAAGAGTATATGAGGAAATGTTTACATATTTTAAAAAGATAACAGAAAGAATATAGAAGTATTTAGTTTTGTCTCCCCTTTCATTTCTTTATCCCCTTATTAAACTGTGCGCTCCGCACTCCCGACCAGTAGTTGGCACAAATGCACCTTTTACACTGGTTTCCAAGACCAGCAAAAACACCATAAAAGGAAAGAAAAGAAGAGGCGCAATCTGAACAG